AGTATTGAAATATAATAAAGAAACACAAACAAATAATGAAATAAAAACTTCTTTCCAATCAATTAAAAAAATAATTTTGCTGCTGAAACGTTTTAATGGAAAAATGATATCTTTAATAATAAAATAATTTTTTTTTTAAGAATGCCATTTGACAACCTTTCAATTGTCAGCTTTTCAATTTTCTTACTTAATTTAAATAAATATTTGTTATTATAATTAATTAATTTAAATATATGTTATTTGCAATCTATACTACTAAATCTTCTACTAAAATTTAATTAAAAAATGAATAATTGATGGTTTCTTTATTATTTTTTGTTAAATATTTACATATAATAAAAATATTAAAGATAAAATGTTGCTATTAATAACTGCTTATAATTTTGMAGTTTTGTAACATTATGTTTTGTGTCAAAAAAATATTTTTTCTAAGTATTGAATTCAATGTTCAATACCGTAAATTGTTTGTTTTTATCGGAAAGAATTTGAGTTGCGTCTGGCACTTTCTAAATTACTTTATCCAACATTTAATAGCATTTGGTCAAWTTATTAATAATTAAATTTTTTCCTYYTAAGACACTAAAGTGTATTCTTTACATGTTTTGGTATTAAATTATTCATTATTATTTAAATAGATTATTAAAACCAAAAATATATTTCTTAAACATTTTGTGAGGTTTCCAAGAACTTAAGTTTATTCAAATTGATGTATAGAATTATTTCTCTTCGTTCAGTTCTTATATCTTAAGATCTAATGAGTTTTACGGTATAAAATGTCTTAAATATTTTTGTTATGATTTATGGGTAAACACTAAACAATGACTGATTATATATACTATACTATCCTTAATATATATATATATATACTATTTATACTATATATACTATAGCCAGCTTTACTGGCTTATCATAAATATTGGAAATTGAAAGCAAATTAGTTTTGTAATAATAATTTCTGATCGAAAATTCGAAAAATATGTAGATATGTTACAACTGTTTATTTTTGAATCGGCAGTAAAAAAATCCATCCTGTAATATATTATTCTACTGGCRTACTTTATTAAAATTTTCATTTTATATTCTAAGTATAGCGTTAAATCATAAAGGTGGGTACTGGTTAAAAATTATATATGTTTTTAAATGCTTATGAAAACCTTTTTGTTACATTTTAAAAGTATTTTATCACATTTAAAAATTAAAAATTTTATAGTTGATTATTTTAAAATCTGAGTAGTGAATATATTACCTATCTTTATAATGGCTAGAAATAATTGTTGAGAATGATCAAAATACATTCCTTAATCATTGTAAATAAAAACTTAATACCTTTTTACTATC